GAGGTAACATGTACACTTGGACACAGAGTGTGGAGTAACAGACACTGGAGACTCAGAAGGATGGGAAGGTGGGAGGGGAGTGAAGGATGAAAAGTGGCTTAATAGGTGCAATGTACATTATTCAGAAGATGGTCACAAAAAACGCCCCAGACTTCACCACCATTATCCAAAATATCCATGTAGCAACACTGCACTTGTAGCCCTTAAATTTATGCAAATAAAAAAATGTTTTAGATGTACCTACTTCTGATAGAAAGTAGATACAAAATCACCCATTATTTCATAATCAAAGAGTAAGAAAATTACATTGTATGTCTTCTCAATATGTTTTTATATACGCTTTTAATTTGTTTTAAAATTTTTACCAAAAGTCATATTATATAAATTTTAGCCTATTTTCCCTTAGTAGTATAATATTTTCACATATCAAAAAATATTCTTCTATAATATGATTTTAAAGGAATCATAGTAATAATGGTGTTTTTAAGTAATTGAACATATTCATCTTATGAGCACCTCCTTAGAGATAAAGCAACAGAAAGAATCCATAGCAGCAAAAGTGTATTGAGCTTTTCATTTGTTTTTACATATCAAAGCAATTTTTGCCAAATGCCTACTATTTGTCTTTTATGTACTAGGAAAACAAAGATAAGTTTTTAGAGCAGTTATAGGTAGGTTAGTCAGATATTATATGTTGGATACTATGACAGAGATAGGCCTACATGGTACAGGAACACAGAGAAGAGGCCTCTAAGTAAGAATGAGAGTTACCTGTTAAGTGACACTAAGTAAACTTTTGAAGGACAAGGGGGATGGAAATTGCAGTACAAACAGCATAAGTACAAGGAGTCCTAGAAACAGTCAAGCATTAATTCACAAATTGGCTTGATCATAAAAATCAGTAGAGACTGGCAGGCGTGGTGGCTCACACCTGTAATCCCTGAACTTTGGGAGACCGAGGCAGGTAGATCACCTGAGGTCAGGAGTATGATACCAGCCTGGCCAACAAGATGAAACTCCATCTCAACTAAAAATAAAAAAATTAGCCAGGCGTGGTGGTGGGCACCTGTAATCCCAGCTACTCAGGAGGCTGAGACAGGAGGATCACTTGAACCCAGGAGGTGGAGGTTGCAGTGAGCCTAAATCACGCCACTGCATGCCAGCCTGGGCAACAAGAGCAAAAATCTGTCTCAAAAGGAAAAAAAAAAAAAAATCAGTAGAGACATTAAAAAAATCAGTAGAAACATAAGCCCCACTCCTAGAGATTCCAATTTAATATGTTTAGGGTCAGGCCAAGAATCTGCATGTTCAATTATGTCCCAAGAAATTCTTACATTCAGTCAAGGTTAAAAAACAATTCTAGTCCCTCCAACTGGAAACCTGCTTGTTTTACATTATAGCAGTAAGGAAGTAGCCATCACTGAAGCTTGGAAAGTGGCCAAAGACAGAATGCATGGGTTAAGCTTTGAAGTTTATCCTGAAAGATAAAGGACTGAATCCAAGTTTGCAGAGCAGATTAGCATTTTAGAAGGATCACTCTGTAAGAAACGGAGTATGACGTGTAAGGAAACCTGCTTTTGAGGAAGCTAATGCGGCAATCTAGGTGAGAAGTCATTGAGACCTTAATTTAAAAAATGGTTATGAGTTTAGGAAAGAGGAGAACAAGAGATACCAAGGAATTAGAAGCCACGGGGGTTAGGGATTGATTGAGTGTAAGTGAGAGTGACCTAGGAAGACTCCCAGGGAAGTGGATTGGGTGACTGGATATGAGATATGCCATTTATGAAAATGTGCCATTCAAGTAAAGCGCAGGTTTGAAATGCATAAGTTCAATTTTAGATATACTGAATTTTATTGGAAATTCAATTGTAAGGTTCCATTGCAAACTCAAAAGGAAGATTTGTCAGGAGGGAGTTTGTAATGTAACAGTGATCGAAGTTGAAGCCATGAGGAAGATAACACTTAATGTTTAAGCAGAAAAAAAGAGACCTACAATGGAGACTAAAAAGAATTATCTTTTTTCTTTTTAAGGAAAGAATAATGCCACAGAAAACAAAGGAGGACTCCAGAAGGAGAAGAGCTGCTACAGATACATCAAACAAAACAAGGACAAAGCAAAGTTCCGTGAACTGTGCCATATGGAATTCAGCGGTGCAGGTATCAGGAGCATCTCCTCTGCACATGTTTCTGGTGGGCTTGGCCAATCAAATGTTTCCTTCCTAGGAGCTGAATCTTAAGTTGTGACACAAGGAGGAAAGGTAGTTGAACCTTAGTAAACATACATGATTATGAATGTCCACGGTTTCATTTCAGTGATCCTGTGCTTTCTGCCCTCAGGAAGCTTGACTGTTTAGCATTTTCTTCTATTCTGCATTATACCAGTATATTTCCAACAAATACCATTTTTTTCCATAAGTTGTTCTCAATTTGTTTCTTTGGCTTTTAATTAGAGACCCAAAACTGCCAAAGTAATTTTACTTTTGCTTTCATTTTCAATAAGACAAACTACTGTTCTGTTTATTTTCTGAAGTAAAACAGGAAAGAGGGAGATGATTGATATAATAAAGTCATTGAGTACACAGAAGAGGATGGAATCCAATCTACAGGTTGAGAAATGAGCCTCGAGTTAGATAGGCACCTTTTCCATCAGGAAGGAAAAGTACAAATGCCAATAAATAAGCATGTAAGTAAGAGGGAGAGGAAGGTGCAGTTTTCACTTTGTGCCCTTGGCTTTTCACAATGAAATGGACAGAATCATCATCTGCTGTGTAAGGAGTTGGCGGTTTTGACAGTAAGGGAAATGTTTTGAATACCCACTGTCGGTTGATCAGAAGCACCTTCACCATAACTGAGGACTCAGCCTTGGTCAGAAAGCAACAACATACAGTGACATCAATTGGTATGGCTGTGTGATTTTTCTCCAGGAACTCTCAGCTGCTCAGTTCCAGAGTCAGAGAAACAGGATGGCTGGATTAAGAGTTGAAAGTAATATTGATAGCATAATTTAAGTAGTGGACACCAGTGTGTGGGGCTGAACAGGGAAAATGAGAAGACAGAAGGAGACTAATTGATTAGGAGAAAATGGAGGGCTCAAAGCATATGGGGTCATGAGGTCAAAGGGCAGACATAGTTCAATAAGGACAAGAAAGTTACCAAAAACAAATGGTGGGGAAAAGCAGATGTCTTGCCTAAACATCAAGCCTGTATCTGAATCTCTCTGTGAATGGAGGGTTCATGTTTATCTGCCTTCAGACTGCTCTACTCAGCTATCAGTCAGACTTTCTAAGGATTCCTAATCTGTTTTTCTGAGTTTCGCCCACAAGCTGGATGACCACTTGGTGGAGCTCCTGCAAAGAGAATGTCAGCCCATTGGTTAACAAGATATCCTGAAAAACTTGAGATTCTGTAAAATTATGCAGTTTACTTTAGCCCGGTCCAATAAATGGTGGACTGATTGAGAAATACTTTAAAAAAAATAAAAAAATTGTGAGCTACCCTTTCCCTATTGCTTCCAATAAAATGACAACTGACTTCTGGTGCTTGGAGCAACCAAGATTTTGGAAGTTTCTTTGATCTTAATGCAGCGATGAATCTTCCCTCTATTACTAGCCTAAGCTTAATCTAGTCCTTCATCAGTTGTAGAAATATAATATCTTTAAGAAAGGATCGGAAAAAGAGACCATAATTAAGACACTGCTCCTTTAGGCCTAGCCTATTAATAATACCTTTAATCTATTTTACCTCACAGGTTTAAAAAAAATTCTGCCTATTGCTTAGTGCCACCCATACTGCTGATGATGAACAATGATCTGTTGCATAAATTGCCACCTACCTTTTATTCTGTAGCAGCCATTCATTACAACTCTAAAGTCAGTAATTACCAGTGATGAAAGTGGCATTATCTGCCGTGACTTCCTGTTTGGTTTTACTTTGAAAGTGCCTTAGCTGGTTACCTTACTTGGATAGTGTAGACTGTTCCAGTGCTATAGACAACTTATCTCCTGTCCCGGGCATAGTCCCCCAAACAGTGCCTTCATTACTGCTAGGAGAGAGTGTGGCTTAATTATACTATATTCATCTCTATGACTAGCCAGACAACTCAAACCATAAGGTTACATTACATGGTTGTTATAGTTTCATCACGGTTTATGACCAAGAGCACACACTTTCTAATGCAGCGCGAGAAAATCAAGAAGATGTAGTTAGATTAATTAATTTGCAGCAAAATACTATCTGGAGCATCAGGAAGACTGGCAAGTGCTTACAGTTCAACTCCATGTCATAGATCAAATTTTAAAATTTCAATAAGCAGTTTATCTTTTTTTTTTTTTTTTTTTTTTTTTTGAGACGGAGTCTCGCTCTGTTGCCCAAGCTGGAGTGCAGTGGCCAGATCTCAGCTCACTGCAAGCTCTGCCTCCCGGGTTTACGCCATTCTCCTGCCTCAGCCTCCCGAGTAGCTGGGACTACAGGCGCCCGCCACCTCGTCTGGCTAGTTTTTTGTATTTTTTTTAGTAGAGACGGGGTTTCACCGTGTTTGTCAGGATGGTCTCGATCTCCTGACCTCGTGATCCGCCTGTCTCGGCCTCCCAAAGTGCTGGGATTACAGGCTTGAGCCACCACGCCCCGCCAGTTTATCTTTTTTTAATTGACAGATGTAGTGGTTACCTTGAGCTGTCATAGAATTGAATAAAAATCTGAGATAATGAGATAATACGATGTTGACATGTTTATAGGTGGCAAAAATAAACCTTAATATTGTGTCATCAATTTCTTCTTCTCTGCACTTATAATTATGCAGGCTGTGTGGATTTCGTTCTTTTCATACTGGTGGTGTTATACGATACTCGGTCACATTCACCCTAAGATAATGAGGCTGAATTGTAGATCTGGAGCAAACTTTTGCCCTTGGATTGTTGACAGGCGCTGCAATTTAATTAAGTTGACATTTCTAGCATAAACTCCCAGAGATAGAAGACACCACAGAGAATCTTTTATCTAACCTTCTGCCCAGTATAGGAAATCTCTCCACAGCACACCCAGCAGGTTGCTTTTCCAGTCTTCTTTGATTTCATCAGCATCCCAAATTATTCACTGGGTGTTTAATCATGGTTCTGCTTTCTTCTAGGAAACATACATACACAGAGTCAAATTTTCTATCAGAGAGGACAAAAGGGAAATGAGTTGTCTATCAGAGAGAAATGGGCAAGGACAAAGGGAAAATCATTAGTGGAAAGAAAAAGGAGCGCTAAAGGGCAGTATGATGAGAAACAGGGGGAAGAGATGCATGCAGTTTAAGCAGAGCAATCACTTTCACTAAGCCCTTTTCATTCTCTTGCAATACTCTCAGGGATTACAGATTGGAAGGCACTGCACTGGTGTGGAAGTAGGCTGAGAAGAAATATGGGTCGGGCACAGTGACTCATTCCTATAATCCCAGCACTTTGGGAGGCCAAGGTGGGAGGATCACTTGAACCCAGGAGTCTGAAACTGACCCTGGCAACATAGCAAGACCTTTTCTCTACAAAAAAAATTTAAAAATTAGCCAGGCATGGTGGCACATGCCTGTAGTCCCAGCTTCTCAGAAGGCTGAAGTGGGAAAATCACTTGAGCCCAGTAAGTTGAGGCTGCAGTGAGTCATGACTGCACCACTACACTTCAGCCTGGACAACAGAGTGAGACCCTATCTCACAAAGAGAAAGAAAAGAAAAGGAAAGGAAAGAAAAGAAAAGGGAAGAGAAGGGAAGGGAAGGGAAAGGAGGGGGAAAAAGGAGAAGAGAAAAGAGGAGAAGGAAAGGGAAGGTAAGAAACATCGACTGGAGAGAAGTGTCAATGTCATTATCAGAGCCTACAGAGGCATTAATGTGACCAGTACTGTGTCTTTGTTTGGGGGTTAAGAAGGAAGGTCTACTTAGGTCAGCACCTAAGAAAGATGCATTCCTCTATTTGTAATGCTAACTTCTAATCTGTCACCTACCTGATCCACTAACTGTGGACCCACTAACTCTATTAACAGTAGGTATAATTGTATTAGTATAGATCTCTTTTTAAAAAGATGAAACAAGGGCTTATGTGCAAGGGATTATTTTGGGAAATGATCCTAAGTTTTAAGGAGTGAATGGACTGGAGAGAGTAAAATAGGGAAGAAAGGCAAGCAGTATCAGGGGAAGAAGGTCTCAAGCTGAACATGACCACAGATCATGATCCATTGAAAATCCTCTAAAGATCCATATAGAATGGGCCTCAAAATTCTGCAAACAAGGGACAGAAGGTGGCATTTATCCACTGGGGTCTGTCCCTGATAGGCCACGATTTGCCTTAATGATATTAACCTCTCGTATACAATGTGTGAGGCAGATCTGTTACCTACCACAGGCACCCCAGTTGCCCTGTAGAGTTAGCAATGGGGCAGAAATTAAGAAAAGCCAAGTGTGGCCTGGCACAGTGGCTCACATCTATAATCCCAGCATTTTGGGCGGCCGAGGCAGGCTGATCACGTGAGGTCAGGAGTTTGACACTAGCCTGGCCAACATGGTGAAACCCCTGTCTCTACTAAAAATAAAAAATTAGCTGGGCTTGATGGCAGGTACCTGTAATCCCAGCTACTTGGGAGGCTAAGGCGGGAGAATCAGTTGAACCCATGAGGCTGAGTGCACTCTAGCATGGGCAGCACAGCAAGACTCCACCTCAAAAAAAAAAAAAAAAAAAAAAAAAGGGAAAAGAAAAGAAGAATTAAGAAAAGAGAAAAAAAAGAAAAGAAAAGGCAAGTGTAGGCTGAATAATGGACACTTCCAGATTAAAGGAGACTAAAAAGATATAAGAAGTAAAATGCTATTTGTGATCCTGTTCAATTCTGAACCAGTAAAAGAGTCATAATTCATAAAAGACATGATTAGAAAAATTTACAAACTTGTATTAGGTATATTGATTAAAATATTATATCAATGTCAATAGTGATGTTGATTTTTACCTAGCCAAGAACAGTGGTCTCAGTGATGATTGGTGTAAAATTAGGTCCAAGAATCTACAAGTTGGGGCACACCAGGTGCCTACACAACAATTAGCCCTAGATTTTCTTTTTAAATAAAAACTCTAGACATCACTAAAAATGGAAAAGTAATAACTTTATAGTGGAGAAATCTGGTGGACATCACCAGTGTTGGGACAAACTGACATCACATGCCTCCTAACGTGATGTATTAAGAAGAAAACAGTATTATTCTTACATGGTATTTTTACATGCTAACTTGCATAACCTGGATTGAATCATACAAAAGCATTAAACAAACCCAAATTAATTTCCTTTCTACAAAATAAATGCCCTGAACTCTTAAAAATATCAGTATCACAAAATAAAAAGAATACTGGACACTTCCAGATTAAAGGAGACTAAAAAGATATAAGTAAATACTATGTGTGATTCTGTTCAATTCTGAATCAGAAAAAAGTCATAATTCATAAAAGACATGATTAGAAAAATTTGCAAACTTGTATTAGGTGTATTGATTAAAATATTATATCAATGTCAAATTTCCTAGGTTTGATCATTTTACTACAGTACATAGATGAATATGCTTGTTCTTAAGAAATACACACTGATGTATTTAGGAGTAAAGCAGCATGACATCTGCAGCTCACTTTCAAATGGTCCTGTATATATGTGGACAGGGTGGGAGAAAGAAATCAAATGTGGTAAAATGTTAACAATAGTGAATCTGTGTGAAGTATATGGGTGATCTTTGCACTATTCTTGCAACTTTTCTGTAAGTTTGAAAGTATTTGAAAGTAAAAAGTTTAAAAACTGTAAGCTCTGGACCAAAGGGAATTATAGCGAGGGTTCAAAAGACCTGAGCTGTAGTCCAAAGTCTTTGATGCTTGTTGTTTCTGTTTTCTCATCCAGAAACTTTGTAGAATTACTGTAAGAACTAAATAAAGTGATTGATGTAAAAGACGTTTGAAAGGTTTAAAATAACACACAATTGTGTAGTACTGTTAGAAACGGGAGTCTGACATTTGAAGATGTCTTAATAGATGGGGTGTTAGACCATGTATCATCTAAGCAGTGACAGACACATACAGAGAAACAGAGGAATGTGTGGGTTTATAACTTGAAAGTAGAGAGCATTTTAGGTCATTTTCAGCTACTAACTCCTTATTCCAAACTGGTACCCTTTAACAAACTTTATCTACTGTATACTAGACAATATGTATACTGTAAGAATTGTAAGGATGAATGATTCATATTCTCAAGGAAGTTAGAGCCTATTAGGGGATAAAACTACAAAACTAAAAATCAGTAATATGATCTGTTAAGAAATGACTACAGAAACAAAAGTAAGAAAGCAGCAAATGTGAGGTTTGAGGATAGAGACAAAAGAATTTCTGACAGGAAGTAATATTTGAATTGAGCCTTGATGAATGAGAATATCACTTAGAAATAAGAAAAGGAGGACCGGGTGCAGTGGCTCACACCTGTAATACCAGCACTTTGGGAGGTTGAAGTGGGCAGATCACCTGAGGTCAGGATTTTAAGACCAGCCTGGCCAATATGGGGAAATCCCATTGCTACTAACAATAAAAAAAGATTAGCCATGCATGGTGGTGTGCACCTGTAGTCCCAGCTACTCAGGAGGCTGAGGTACGAGAATCTTGAATCCTAGTGGCGAAGGTTGCAGTGAGCCAAGATCGTGCCACTGCATTGTAGCTTGGGCAACAGAGTGAGACTGTCTAAAAAAGAAAAAAGAAAAGGTCATTTTAGGCAAAGAGAATGGCTGAGGAAGCTATAAATATACCTTACATATTTAGTCTCTGCAATTTTTTGCCTCCTGTGTGACAGCTTCCCCACATTACCCTTCCTAACTAAATACCCATGAAGCCATGAGAATTCCCTCCATTTTTATTTCTTGTTTTGTCACCAACTTTGACATTTTATAGTGTATTAAAATAATGGATGGTCCACCACAGTCATGAAGAATGAATGGAACCTCCCGATAAAAGTGGTTTTTGTGAGTTTTTTTAGGGATGGTTAATTTTTAAAAATCTGATTCTGGAACCCAAGAAGACTATTAAATGTTTTTAAATTTTAAAAAAACAAACATCTGTATACCACGCTGTTCTTCTTTGCATTGGGATTTGGGTTATTTCATAGAGCATTCTAATTAATGGTGCAAAATAGTCTAATTACCAAATTAGCCTAAAGCTCTCAGAAGTGAGGTCAATGGATACACATGCTGTGGAAAGGCCAGACTTTTCATAAAGCCACAAAAACTATTTTTGGTTCCCAGAAGATGACTTGGTTAGTATCAAAAACAGTAAGATACACCTTCATTTAAGACACAAGTGAAAGACACTTCTGCGGTTAATAAATTTCACTTGCAGCAAGGGAGTAGCAGCCTCTAGGAGATACACTCCACTGCTTCTACAGAGAGGTAGAAGTGGAGTTTCAGTTTTAATTTTGCCCTGTCTTTCTTTGAAATGATTCTAGCTTCTGCTTTTGAACAAACTGTAACAGTTTCTGATCCTTGTTTTACTGTCATTGAATATCAAATGGAGAACTTGTTTTTGAGACAGGAAATGCTAGTGAAACTCCTCGCTCCTGTCAGCACTTTCTAAGCAAAGTTAGGCACACTGCTTGCATTCTCTGTATTTAGAGATCTTCATCTTTACAAGATGCTTATTGGAATCTGGAAGCTAGAATAATCCATACTCAGGCTTCAATAGCCTAAACTGTTTTTTGTTTTGTTTTGTTTTTTTGTTTTGTTTTGTTTGAGACAGAGTCTCTCTGTGTCACCCAGGCTGGAGTGCAGTGGTAGGATCTTGGCTCATTTCAACCTCCGCCTTGTGGGTTCAAGCGATTTTCCTGTCTCAGCCTCCCAAGTTCCAAGTAGCTGGGACTACAGGCATGCACTACCATGCCCAGCTAATTTTTGTATTTTTAGCGGACATGGGTTTTCACCATATTGGCCAGGCTGGTCTCAAACTCCTGCAGTCAAGTGATCTACCCGCCGTCAGTCTCCCAAAGTGCTGGGATCACAGGCATGAGCCACTGATCCAGGCCCAATAGTTTAATCTTCATATTTCACACCTGGAAAACTAAAATTGTAGTACTGCTGACTTTTCTAACTGGTACAAAGACTTCTATTAGGCAATGTCTACAAAGTGCTCTAATCACCTTAGAAGAAAATTATGCACTCTACAAATCACAGACTTGGGAGGTATTGTTAGAAGTAACCTGCTCCAACTCTGCAATATATGAATCAAGAATCATTTGTACGATGCAGTGAATTAAGATGGGTACCCTGGGCATTTAGTTTGAAAGGTCAACAAAATGCAACTTGTTAGAACAATTTTAGCTCTGTAGCCTATGGCTACCATTTATGCTAAAATAAGTATTTTATTATACACAGTGACAAATTCTTCCATCTCTTCAGCTCTCTTCACCAATGCAATGTGTACTGGGTAATATCTCCCTCAGTTAGTTTAGGCCATCTCTGGCTCTTCTGGAATATTCTGTCCCTCTCAGGGCTGCATTTGATATGCATTTTAAAGGTACTTTGCCTATAATTTAAAAGATAGCAGGATGGGGCTGGGCGCAGTGGCTTAGGCCTGTAATCCCAACAGTTTGGGAGGCCACTGCAGGCAGATCACTTGTGGTTAGGAGTTCGAAACCAGTCTGGCCAACGTGGTGAAATGTCACCTGTAATAAAAACACAAAAATTAGTCAAGTGTGGTGGCAGGCCCTTGTAATCCCAGCTATTTGGGAGGCTGTGGCACAAGAATCACTTGAAGCTGGGAGGAGGAGGTTTCAGAGAGCCAAGATTGCACCCCTGCACTCCAGCCTGGGTAACAAAGGGAGACTCTGTCTCAAAATAAATAAATAAATAAATAAATAAATAAGATAGCAGGATGGGCACAGTGGCTCAAGCTTATAATTCCAACACTTTGGGAGGCCAAGGTGAGAGGATCAACTGAGTTCAGGAGTTTAAGACCAGCCTGGACAACAGGATAAGACCCCATCTCTATAGCAATTTAAAAAATTAGCCGAGAGTGGTGGCGTAAGTCTGTGGTCCCAGCTACTCAGGAAGCTGAAGTGGAAGGATCACCTGAGTCCAAGGGGTAGAGGCTGCTGTGTTTGCACCACTCACTCTAGCCAGGGCAACAAAGTGAGACCCTGTCTCAATCAATCAGTCAGTAATAAATAAATATAAAATGATGGCAGCTAGCAGTCAGGAGAGGCAGTAAGGGAGATTTCCCAAAATATGAAGTTCTCAAGATTCTAACCTCAGGATAGATTCTGAAACCCTAAGAGATTTTAGAAATTCTCGAAAGGTAGTTTTGCTAACACACAGCCACTTATAATCCACATTGTCTTTTCTCCCTTGGGGTGCAAGGCCTTAATTAACAATATTTAACTTAAACAGTCTCATAGTGCTACAACCAAGGGAACTCCTGAGCTACTTCCTGTTTCCCAGTCCCTGACCAAGCCACTCTTGAACTGCTCCATCCCCCAAAACAAACAAATTCTTTTAGTTAATATTTAAACTCTGTTCATTTGAGCTTTATTCCATTGACCCTAATGCTTTAACTTCTGCTAAAATAAAAATGCTCTTTGTACTATTATTAATTATTTCTGCTCTACTGTGATGGAAGAATTCAAACAATTTTGATAGGTGAATGCTTAAGCCTCTGAGAGTGAATTAATTGTATTGATCTCTTTGAGAATAAATTAACTATTATTGCTCATTGCTCATTTACATGTATAAGCTCTGGACTGGATACATTTTTTAAGACACTTAATATTTTAAGGCACTTAATTATTGTGAGACTTTATATATACATATATAAATATATACATATATACACATATGTATGTATGTATGTGTTTTTAAGTCTCACAATAATTCTACCAAGTAGGCATTCTTTTTTGGAAATGGAGTCTGGCTCTGTCTCCCAGGCTGGAGTGCAGCAGCACCATCTCTGCTCACTGCAACCTCCTTCTCCCGGGTTCAGGTGATTCTCCTACCTCAGCCTCCCGAGTAGCTGGGATTAAAGGTGTGTGCCACCACACCTAGCTAATTTTTGTATTTTTCATAGAGACAGGGTTTCACCATGTTGACCAGGCTGGTCTTGAACTCCTGACCTCAGGTGATCAGCCCCCCTCGGCTTCCCAAAATGCTGGCATTATAGGTGTGAGCCACCATGCCCAGCCCAAATAGGCATTCCTATCTCTATCTTATGAAAGAGAAAACTGAGGTTCAGAAGTTGGGAAAGGTTTACACCACCTGTAAGTGACAGCCAGAAACTAAACTCATTTGTTTCTATCAGATGCCAAAGCAGGGGTCACAATTTTGCCTGGATTCAAAATGACATATGCAGGTTCTTATACTAGATGGTAGCAGGAAGAGAGTAGATGGCTGAGAACCAGAGACCCAGGAGAAGACTGGGGCGTGGTAGAGGAAACACAAGAATAAAAGAAAATTGTGGCCAGACATAGTGGCCATGCCTATGATCCCAGAGCTCGGGGAGGTCCAGATGGGAGGATCACTTGAGGCGAAACATATGAGGCCAGCCTGGGCAACATAGTGAGGCTCTGTCTCTACAAAAAATTTAGAAACTTAGTTGGGCATGGTAGCACCTGTAATCCAAGCTACTCAGGAGGCCGACATGGGAGGACTGCTTGAGCCCAGGAGTTCAAGGCTTCAGTGAGCTGTGATCGGGCCACTGCACTCCAACATGGGTGACAGAGTGAGATCCTGTCTCTAAAATTAATTAATTAATTAATTAAAATGGAATGAGAGTAGCATAACATGAGGAAAAGTACATCTACTCAGTTAAGAACATTTATTGAGTAACTACTTAAAAGAAGACACTGCTAAATCCTGGCACAAATATGTGTGTATGTATATATTAATATACACATCTTTGTGTATATACACATATAAATATAAAAATCTTTGTGTGTGTATATATAAATATATGTTAATACTTAATATATATTTGTTATTTAAGATAAAATACATAGATGTTCTTTAAAAAATATAGACAACAAGCTGGACACAGTAGCATTAGCCTATAGACCCCACTATTAGGGAGGCTGAGGAAAAGGGATCATTTGAGGCCAGTGGTTTGAGGCTGAGGCTGTTGCATACTATGATCATGCCTGTGAATAGCTATCTTACTCCAGCCTGGGCAACATAGCAAGACCCCATCTCTAAATATAAAACTAAAAAGAGAAATGGTAGCATACAATATAAACTGTTTATTCTACATCTTGCTTTTCTTATTAACATTTGTTATGTTAGTAAATATAGCACTATCTCCAGTCATCCCAATGTCTACATAACATTCCATTGTACTGATGTACCATAGGTTATTTACACAGTTCCTTTTTCATGGACATTTAGGTTGTTTACAATATTTTAGGATTAGATATGTGTTGCAATGACTATCCTTGTGCACATATGATTTTGCAAGTGCAAACCTATTTATAGGGTAAATGTAGAGATGTGGAATTGCTGAGATGAAGAATATGTACATATGTATATATTTAATTTTGACATGCATTGCCAAAATGCTCTCCATAGAGGTATTCCCAACTCACATTCCCAGCAGCAATATATGAGAGTTTCTATTTCCCCACGCAACACCATTTGAATTTAGCCATTCTG